GGGATTAATCATTTTAGAAGAAGGAAAGCCTTTTTTGTTTTTTGGATATTTTTACGTGGAATTCTCCTACAATTATCCATCCATAAAATATTAGTCTTGGAGATAATTTTACGAATTTACAAATAAATATCAATGTACATTTCTGATAAATTCACGAACTCAATGTCATTTGATTCATCTTTATTTTAGTACGCAAGCATACGTGCAGAAATGAATTTTTATTTATAAATATATTATTGGTAATATACGAGTAACAAAACATTCCATTATTTAAATATAAAAAATAGATAAATATTGTTCGCAGTTAAATTTAAACTTTACTAATGCATGCTATTAAATTAGTTTCACCCTATAATACTTTTTCTAGAATACGAAATTTGAATGTAAGAAGCTTTGCAACATATTTCAGCTATTGACTTGAAATATTAGAATACAATATCAAATTACAATATCAAATTTATAGTATAGGGTGAGTCATCGATTACATAATATCAATTTGCATTGTCATGTACTTTATGAAGATAATGTTGCAAGTAGATATTATAGAGGGTGAGTCTGAAATAAGTGCAAATATTTTCAGGATTGGTAAATCTCTGATATAAAAATATGGGTAAAAATAGAAAAGTTGGAATAAATCGCGAACTATTAAAATAGGTATATGACATACTTGATAAAGGTTCAAGAGTTTTGTAAAATCTATTTTGTAAAATCTACCAGAAAAAATGATAATATACATGTGTCATCTCTCGTGGGGAGATTCCTCACGTAAAAATAAGATTTATTTTTCATATCAACATAGGTCCGATTCTGCTTTGTTTCGTAGCTACAGGGTGTTAAAGTCTAAATATTTTTTCGATTTATTATAATTTTCTTACAAGTACTTTTAGCGTTTTGAATGAAATTTTGAGGGTAAAAATTACTATAAATGCGACATATTTTAAAGCTATAAAAGTGTCGACATATTCACCAGGGACGTGCATATGGGTTATCACTGATATATTTTTCTAAAAAAGTATGACGCCACTGACTTTCTCTTGTTAGCGAAATAATGTAAGCAGTTTAATGCTGATTAAAAGTTGTCTCTTGATATTTTGTCGATTCGGCCTCCTTGATGAGATAAACACAATTTTAATAATTTGCCTTGATCCAAGTCTAATTGCGAAATTTTAAAAAATCTTAATATCATTAACTTACAAAAGTTTTAAATAAGTATTCATTAATTCCTCATCAAAAAATATGAAAAAAAGTTCCTATAAACATGGGTACGAAAATGCATAGTTTTAGAGTTACAGGATGTTAAAACTTTTTAAAATTAGGTTTTTGGTAATTATCTTAAATACCATTATTTTTTATTTGAAAATGGTGTAGTATGGGCTAATAGTAATAATAACTAATAGTAATAATATTTAATAAATTAGGTAAAATATATAATGTATTAATTTTATTTTATTTTAATTTTATTAATTGTGATTAATAAAATCGCGTTTATCTCATCAAGGAGACCGAATTCGACAAAATATCAAGAGATAACTTTCAATTGGCATTAGACGACCTACATGATTTTGATATCAAAAGAAAAAAAGTCAGTGGCGCACATGTTTTTTTTGAAAAATATTCCAATGATAACCCATATGCACGTCTCTGATAAATTTATCGACACTTTTTTAGCATTAAAATA